GAAAAAAGATGTTTAGTTATAATATTTCAATACAACAATAGGTTTTATAGGATGCCTAAAATGTCTTAGATTCTTGTACCTTCATCTAGAGATGGCAATGGGTTCTTGTACCACTACTTGATTCAAAGTAAACATTCAAATATGAAGGACGCGTAATGACCTCGAACCTACAACTTCCCTGCTTTTTGAAGAGAATTAGGGGAAAATCGGGAGAAATAATTCCTTGTAACTAACGATGGGGAGGGTAATGAAATTTTTGTAGGCATGAATGACCAGGGGAAAGGTGGAGTTTAGTGGTAAACTGTGGTGTGAGGCATCGGAGAAAAAAAAGAGTGTTGACCAGAATGTTGTGGGAAGGGAGATTGTTGTTTAATATATTATATACACGATATATATATATATATATATATATATATATATATATATTAAAAATAGAATTATATAAATTATAGTGTTTTTAAAATTTTAAAGAAAGAAAATAAAATGACTAAAAGGCCTCAACTTAACGGAGGTTAGACTAACAAAGTCAGGTCAAGGGACCCGATCGGTAACAAAAAATAAACGACAGTAACCATAGCTGCAATTATTTTAGTTGGGGGATCCAATCCGTAATTTTAACATAACCAGAGGAACCGAATCTGTAACTTACTCCTTCAATCTTATATTTTATTAAAATATAAAAGCATTATTACTTTCTCAAAACCGTATAAAATCGAATTATAACATCGATTGAGACAAAGAATAAAACGAAACATTAAAATTGAGATGTATCTTCCTGCATTACGCGAGTACCCTTCTAGTATATATATATATGCGAAATATCGTGTGAGAAGAAGAGTTAATGTGAAAAACGTAATAAGAGTCTGGACCTTTGATCACCTTTAATCTCAAACTTACCTATGAATTCTGTTTAATATGATAATTGATCTGATACATCTCATTCTAATACACATTCAAAGATAAAGACCATTTATTACGATTCCCTGCTTAAGTCTTGTTCATGTTGGAATTCAAACCCTAAATATACATAAACATATATATATTATAGGAACGAATATACCAAAAGTGAAATGGTTGGCAGTTGACTTTTTGTGAAGTCTGTCGTTGCTTTCAACTTTTTAACTACTTTTAAGTCAGAGCAGTATTTGTATTTGTAACATCAAATCTACCACTAAATTTCTATCAGTCCCCCGTTCCCCTTTCCACACATCACGTGCTTCACATGATTTTCCCACTATTCTTTTTTATTTTCTTTTCTCCCTATCTATACTATATTATTAAGCAATTGAAAAAAAAAATTAAAAATTATTTTTTATACGTAAAGTACTGTTTATTAATGCATATTACTTAAAACTCAAAATTACAAGTAAATTGTGCATAAATACAACTTATTAAAGCTCCATATCTGAATTCATGTAACTAACTGCAGATAAACATAATCAAATACAGGGTAAACATCTTATTTTAAATATAAAAAATCTAAAATATAATTAAAATAATTATTGACTTCTAATATAATATTTAATTATTATCTTTATAAAATGTTATATTATTAAACTAAAAATAAATTATTTCATTATTAAACTTAAATTAAATTATAATAAAAAAATA